AACACATACACACAAGGAACAACATATGGACTCAACAGGTTATATTGAGGAAAATATATGCGTGTACACACACACACACACACACACACACATACACACACACACACACACTAAAAATTAGTGAAAAAAAAAAGAAGTCATGAATTTGAAGGTGAGCAGGGAAGGGTATGTCGGAGGGTTTTGAGGGAGGAAAGGGAAGAAATGTAATTAAACTATGATCTTGGAAGAGCTCGCCCCTGCACTTGGGAAAGATGGCCCCGCCCCTCATCACAGGCATGCACCTCACCTGGGAAGCACACTAGAGCTGACCCTGTGGTCAGGGAAACAGATGAGCTGCCCCCGAAGGCCTGAGAGCAGGATAGCTGACCCGCCCCCCTTCGTCTGCCATGAGGTGACAGGGATGAGGAAAGATGCCCTCCCTCCTCTGTCCCTTGCGACCTGTGGCAGACAAGAGTGCTGACCCTGGGGTCACTAGAGTGAGAGAACTAGCCCTGCCCCACACCAGCTGCAGCGAAAGGAGAGCCGGCCCGCAGTCAGCCTGGGCAGCACACTGACCCTGCCCTCCCTCCTGTTCCCCCTACAGCAATCAGGAGAGTGGGCCCAGCACCTTGCCTGGGCAAAACAAAAGAGCTGCCTCTGGTGATGTGAGTGTGAGGGACCTGGATTTGAGAGAGCAGGAGAACTGGTCCTGCTCCTTGCTGTAGGCTGCATTGGGTGAACTCTCTGAGGCAGAGCTGGAGGGCTCCCCAGGTAGTGATGATGAGGGAAAGCCAGCGGTCTGACCAACCCAGCTACCACCCAGGCCCAGAACCAGGGCTATGAGTTGGTCCACTCCAACATCCACCAAATCTATGAACTGTTGGATCACGTGAAGGAGATGAACTTATAGATCCAAAACAGCAGGATCTCTACGGTACAGGGCAACAGGATATCCAAGAGGAGCCCCAGGGAGAGCCCATTCCCATTATTGGTGGTGTGGCAGAAACGGGAGGCCTCCAGCCAGACCGATGACTCGTGGTAATGAACAACACTTGCAAGATGAATGAACTAAAGGGTAAATTGTGTGACTCAATGGGCCACACTATAGCTTCCATGACAGATTTTTCTTCTTTGGTTTTGTTTGGTTTTTGGTTTTTCTTTTAAGTTTGGTTTTGATTTGGGTGGGAGGTTCCAGGGACAGAGGGCAGATACCAGGGTATGGGGAGGGAGATAAGTGGGGTCAGAATACATGATATGAAATCCACAAAGAATCAATAAAAGTTGAAGAAAATTATAATCTCAAAATTAAAATAACAAAAGTAGAGAGAGAGGAAGATGCTTGACATTGACCTCTGACCTCCACACACACACCCATGTACACACAGGCATGCCTACCTGCGCTTGCTCTCTCTCTCTCTCTCTCTCTCTCTCTCTCTCTCTCTCTCTCTCTCTCTCTAAAGCATGTAATTTGGGGCTGGAAGTGTAGCTCAGTGGTAGGTTAAACATCTACTATACATGATGCTCTAGGTTTATTCTCCAGCACAGAGAGAGAGAGAGAGAGAGAGAGAGAGAGAGAGAGCGCACATCAGTGGTTTTTAGTATAATCACCAAGTTGTGCAACTACCCCAACACCACCTAATTCCAAAACATTTTCATCACCACAAAAGGAAAATCTGCAACCATTAGCAGACCAAATATACATATTTTTTAATTTGGGTAGGTATTGCCACATTGCTTTACCAAAATTAAAGTAACGTCCTTTGACATGGTCTCAGCACAGTACACGGACCCTTACGGGCTTCTGGTTGCCCTGACTTCCTCCTCCCTAAACACAACAGGATCTCACTGGTCTCGTTGGATAAGGAAGAACATGCAGTGGCCCCACTCCTCTGTCTCCACACAGACACTGCATCCTGGCATGCTTTCCACACTCACAAAGGTAGCAAAAGAGCCGGGAATGGGGTGCAGGGGTAGAGTTCTTGCCTCACGTGAGCAAGGGCCATGGTTCCATGCCCAATATTGGAAATAGGGAACTAAATGCCAAGAAAGCATGTTTAAAAATCGCATCAAGGGCTGGAGAGATGGTTCAGCAGTTAAGAGGATCCTCTGCTCTTGCTGAAGATCTGCGTTTGGATCCCCACCCCATGTCAGGTGATTCACAGCTACCTGTAACTCCTGCTTCAGGAGATCTGATGCCCTCTTCTGGCTCCTGTGGGCACTGCACTCATGTGCATATGCCTACCCGCCACCCCCCTCAAAAGGACAAATAAATACAAAACGTTTTAAAAATGCACTGAGAGTCCAGCCTGACTTCAACAAGTGTTTTACGGTCCTTCAGAGGATGTACCACTGTGTACACGGCTACTATTCTGATCTTATCAGGGGCAAAGACATTCTAGTGACCCAAACGCTCAGAGTTCAATGCCATGGCAACCAGGAAACAAAGGCAACAACAGCTTTTTTCCAACGCATGCACCGACCTCATGCACCAGGTTGCTCTGTCCTTGAATGACAAGTACCTATGCCCACGGTGCCAGCCAACTGAGGCTTCCTCTGCATACACTTGCTTCCCCCATCTGTGGACCTCCAGGCCCCCATTTGTCTGGAAAGACTTCACACCCAAGACAACAACTGGTTCTGCAAACTGGTCCCAGCTCTGTTGCTTGGCTCACAGCCCCGGGCTGAGAACACAGTCGGCTCGGCAGCCCGGGTGGACAACGCCTGCTCCCCCTTTTCCCTTTCCTCCTATGTGTTTTAAGGAACAGGCAAAGGGAAGATAATTAGAACCTGCAAGAAAACCCATGGGCAGGCAGGAGGAAAGAAAACTGTGGTGACTTAAGGACGCCGCCACATGTTTATAAGTACGCATTTGTAAGTAACACGGCAATAAAAAAGACGCTCCTATAAAATGCCACATACTTCAAAGCTCTATATTACTGACATTCTCTTTTAAGGGGTGGGGGACCCAGTCATGTCCCTTCCTCATCGTTTCACTTCCAACAAGCAAAAGGAATCCTAGTTATACCATTTCCCAGTTGTGCAGGCCTTTACAGGGCCAACTGCCCAGAAACACCCACACCCTTATATGCCCACACAAAGATAAAGAAAAGGTACAGGGGGGTCTTTCTATGGCACAGCCGTGCAGTGCCAGGGGTGGCAGAGTAGGTATCTCGCTACCTCTCTCTGGGTCTTCTAGCTGCTCGGATTGAGCGTACACACTTGAACCCCAAAGCCAGTTTGGTCCCACTTTCTGTACACCATCAAAGTAAGGGTGTGCCTGTACGTGTGCTCCGCTCTCATCCCCCCCCCCCCTTGCTGACTGTGAGGTGAAGCAGAGCCCTTGGCCTGTATAAGAGGCTCCAGGACATGCATTCCCGAGTGGCCCTCCCCAGGAGCCCATTGTGGGCAGGTAACTGAAGCCTGCCTTCGGCCTGGCTGTTAATAAGAGTAATTGGCACACCGCGGAGGGGCGGCGGCAGGGCCGTGATTTGCTCAGTACGGAGGTCTCCCCTGACCAGATGTGTCGGCAGCGGTGATAGAAATATTTTCCATATGAGCTTTCCTCTCGCCTGCTTAAGTGCTCCGGGCTGAGCGAGGTGGGCCCATTTGTCATTTACTCCACACAGTAAAAAAAATCAACGGGGAAGTTGCAAACTTCAACTCCAAGCAGAGGCCGGCGGTCTGCTTTCGGCTTTCAGCATTCCTAATCTACTGGGCATCTCCACTTCCCTCTCAAGAGCTCCGTTCCCCTGGAGACTACCCACAGCACAGAGGGCTTGGGTAACGACCAGGCGAAAAGCCTAGGACAAATGTCCCAGGAGCTGGAAGCTCGTGGAACCTGCCTCAATCTTGCGGCGTGGGCAGAGGTTGGGGAGGACATCCTAAGCATGGAAGGGAGAAGAGCCATTACATGAGCTTTCAGGACTCACTAGGCTCCTGACAAGGTGAACAAAAGGCCAAGCTGGGAAGTGGCCTCTTGGCCCTTTTAAAAGATATACACGGTCACTAGGCTTTTCGAAGAGGAAGATGAGTTCGGGACAAAGGTTGTATTTGCATTGCTCCAGTCTGGGAGGCTTTCCTTCAGAGTTAGTAGTGAAGGAATGGAGGACGAGGGAAGGTTAGTGCCGGCTCATCTGCAGGGCAGGGTGGAGACACTGAATGTTCCTTTCTCCCTGCTCAGTGATCAATACTTCAGGCTCTGCCTGCATGAAAACCGGCTCCTGGAGGCATCAGTCATGTTCAGAAACATACCCAGCAAAACCACGGGCTAGACCAATAAGAAGCTGTCCCCACAGACCTTAAACCATGCCTCCTTTTTCTGGCAGACCCAGGCACACTTGTAGCCCCCCCGCTGGCTGCCGCTTTCCCTCTCCACACTCATGACAGAAAGTGAAACACAGGTTTACCCATGCACATCAAAGCGAAGAGAGAGAAAAGCAGGGCACGGAGGGAGGCAGGAAAGAAAGGCAATCTCTCACGCATGCAGATCCCCTCTGAGGCACAGGGGGACAAATGCCTTGAAGGCAATGTCCTTCCTGCATCTGTAATAGATCCTACTGGAATTTGACATGCATGCCCCCCCCCCCAGCCCGACCCCTGCAAACAGCAGAAGCATGCATGCCATAGGTTTCTGTCACCCAGGCCATGCCAGGTCCCCAGGGTGGTAACTGCATGGACAGGTTCAGCACAAGGTTTTAGAAAGTACAGGATCCTTCAAGAAGAAAAGTTTCCCTGTAAGAAAAGCCTAAAGAAAAGTCATAAAAAGCGTTAATCTTTGCACACCCCAAGAACCTATTCCCTGGTCCCTCTTCATAGATGGAAGAGGACATTTATGCAGACAAAAACAGAACTTCTGACGAGATAGTGCAGTTGGCTTACCTCTCCCCCAGGTCTTGCTAACACTGCTGTCTCAGTGTGGAACAATGTTAATAACAGGTAGCTGACAAACATTATTACCCAGAATCAGAGCTACCCTGGAGGAGAAGCCGGCCGCCCAGTGCGAACGCTAGCAGATGCACTTGTGGCTCTGGGATTCCAGCCTGGACTTCTGTAGGCACTGCGCTGGTTCCCCGGCTCCTTCCCTCACTGTACTACCCCGCGCTCCGAGCTCAGCCTCTGCTCTGAAGAAAACTGGTAAGCTGATCTCTTCATGTAATAACTTCTCCTGGCTGGGGGAGGGGACAGGAGCCAGCTGGGAGCTGGGGGGCTGCCTTTAACAGAAAGCAGAAAAGGGGAGGGACAGAAATGATCAATGTGGAGGCTGCATCTGGCCTCATTCATGAAAAGGGCTCCAAGGTAAGCACTTAACGCAGGGCGATGGCTCTGCCTCCTCCACTGAGGCAGGCAGGAGGCAGTGGGCTGCAGGAGGAGGAGCTGCAGGCTGGCAGCTTGGAGACCCAGGAAACCCAGGGCCTTCTTACCTCTGGGTCTGAGTCTGGAGGGCTGTGTGACCTACACAAGTTGCCAGCCCTCTCTGGGATATAGTCCCTTTTTTTTTTTTCTCACTGGTCCTAAGTCAAGAGGTGAGTGGATAGCTTCTATATTCCTTTCCATCTGATTCGATGGGTGCAGAAATTATCAAAGGCTGCCTGGAAAGCATAGAAGTCACCAGAGAGTCACCTGCTTGTCACATGAGCATGAATGGATGGGAACTGTATTTCCCCCTTGCTGCATTTCTGGGTCACTGTGCCTAAAGCAGGATAATGAAGAATTATTGATGAGGATATAAAAATAAGTGGTAAAGTGTGGACCAGTGAACTCTGGGTGGCTACACTGTCAAGAATAACCTGTGGGATGCAGGATGTTCTTGGAGAAAGAAGACTCCACCTTAGTGGATCAGAGGGACCATCAGAGTGGGACTGGGGCACATGAGGAGCACAGGGGCTCACACAGATCTGCTGAGCTCCAGAAACCAGCTTTGTTCTATCCTAGTATGAGTCAAGGTCCAAAATGGGTTTCAATCCACCAAGGATTGGATTCTGCCTGTGAAGGCATACAAAAGCATTCTGAGGGTTTTGGTGGCCAGGGAGAATAGGGCAACATCAGACCCAGTGTGTTCTAGGGGCCCCTCCTGTGAAATGGGGGAAATGTCACCTAATGATTAGGAAGATACATAGGCCACATTGGCTTACAACTTGGTGTAGTTTGTGCCACAGAAGTACTAGAGACCCTGGCTTGGTCTTTGGTCTGATGCAAGTTCAAAACTCAGTCCCAGAAAGTAAAATAACAAATGTTTGAATGCTCCGGGTTATGGGCATAACCCTGCATGAATGAGGAACTGCTTACCCTAACTAACTACAGTTTGCAGCCACTTAGCATCAAGGGCCATGCGATGATGATTTACTAGTGAGACTTCTGGGAAGGCTTGGGTGAAAAGCACTTAGAATTCCTCTTGCCAGAGAATAAGGAGGGTGCTACGGTCCTCTATCCACAAACCCCATTTTGGTGGTCATTCGGAGCCTGAGATCAGGTCTTATAACCGTTCTGCTTCCCATACAGTCTGCTGGCAAAGACACCTGGGATTCCCTTGACCCATCCTTACCTCCACAACCATTCTTCAAGCTATCATTTGCCCACCGTGACCAAGGCAGGCAGCAAGGAGAAAGAGAGAAATGAGTAGGGTTTATCTGATTTTAATTTTTGCCTTTGCACCCTCTCCCTTCCCATTCATTGTTATGTGTCCACACTGAGTCTTTTCTGCTTCCTATTAGAGGAGGCACTGTTACTGACTCAGTGGTCTGCCAAAGTGCAGGCATTATTTAAGCCCAGCTCCTTAAAAGACCAGGGATGTTTCCTAGCCAGGGGTTGGGAAATTCCCTGCAGAGGGTTTGGCTGTAAATGTTTTCAGTTTTGCAAACCATATGGTCGTCTGCGGCAGCTACTTAACTACCATCGTAACGAATGAGCACGATAGATGTGGCCATGTCACAGTAAACTTGACTTGTACATATAGTCTCTCGTTGGCCTGGAACTTTGTACATATAGTCTCCCATTGGCCTGGAACTTTGTATATATAGTCTCTCTGTACATATAGTCTCTCGTTGGCCTGGAACTTTGTACATATTGTCTCTTTGTACATATAGTCTCTCGTTGGCCTGGAACTTTGTACATAT